ATACATATAATTGAGATAATTGAGCAAGTTATCTATGCATTGAGCATTTGATACATCTTCTTGACAAAATGTGAAATTTGTTGCTGGCATCTAGTTAAGAAACATCCATCCATTATCTTTACCCGCTTCTTCCACTTTGGGTCATGGGGGTCGCTGGTGCCCATGTCCAGCAATCACATTGCAAGGGGCGGGGTACAACCTGGATGGATCGCAAGTCCATCACAGGGCCACATAGAGACAAACAAGACAAACAGCCATTCACTCTCTCACTCACACCTAGGGCCAATTTAGAGTCACCAATCAGCCTAACATGCATTTTTTTGGTCTTTGGGAGGAAACTGGAGCACTCGGAGAAAACCCACGCATGCACGGAGAGAACATGCAAACTCCACCAAGAAAGGCCCCCGGACCGGGATTTGAACCAGGGACCTGCTCGCTGAGAGGCAGCAGCTCTACCAGTTGTGCCACCGTGCTGCCCATTAAGAAACATTTTTTCCTTAAATAATTAATTTTATTATTAAGCAATAAACAACTTCCAGTCAAAGGGAAAATGTACAAAATTGTCACCCAGTAAGTTGCAATAACTATATACTATCCACTCACTATATATATATATATATATATATATATATATATATATATGTGTGTGTGTGTGTGTGTGTATCCAAGGGTGACAGTCTTGTGAAGAAGTGTGGTATCTTTTCTGAAAAGCATTAGGATGCTTGACACTCAGCATTGAAGAACCATCTCTGATTTGTATTTATGAAGAATTATGTCCTTGAATTTATCTCTGTGTGTCTCGTTCTCTTTGTGGATTTTCCACTAGTTGTTAATTAAACTTCAGCAGGGAACATTTTGCAGGTATAGCAGCTGGCTTAAAGACTAAACAACATGGCAATGGAGAAAGTTGAAGCGTGATAGATGACAAGTGTGTGTTTTGTGTGTTGGGGGAGGGGGGGTTGCATGTGTAGTGGTGTTATTATGGTGTTTAAAATTAGATTAGCTGGTGTCATTGAGGAAGTAATAGGAAACCAGGCCAAAAACAGAGCAAGGTTTGAACAAAGCTGGATTCATTTTCAGTAAGTAACAGGCCTTGTGCGATCAAAGTGAAATATAGTGAATCATGGTGATTTTAATTATGGGTAGACCTCAACGCATGCATTATTAGTTGCTCTGTGTGAAATGTAAGATAATGGAGCGAACAAATTGTGTCCTGATCTAAATTACAAACATTTTGTACTTTTTAGGGGTAAAATTGAATAAAAAATAGTATTCTGAGTAAAGTTAATTTTAACAAATTTTCCTTTGTTTCTAAAACATTCAGAAAGAGATTTAAACATGAGATACATTAAAAAATTAAAAAATACAGACATAAAACAATAATTTAGCACAACTATAAATCTGTGTTTAAAGCATTCATGTTACCTTTATTTAAACTAGCTTAAAGATGCTTGTTTCAGAGACGTCTATATTTTATTAATATAAATGAAGTTCACTTAATTTACTTTGGTCTGGAAAATGCTCTGATTAAAGTGTAGCTGTAACATTTGCAGTAAGACAAAAGAGGCTACTATTCAGGCAGTTGGAGTTGAGTTATTTCTCTCATCGTTGTGGAAACATTAGTAATAATTTACCTTTCACGACTTCACACATAAGCTAGTTTGGACACTTTAAGGCAGTGATCATCAGCTGGTGGCTCACAAACCAGTATTGTTGGCAAGCTCTTTTTTTTTTGGCCAGCAAAGGAAACATAAATAAATAAACCTCAGCCAATCTAGCACTTACTTGTAATCAGTTTACTCACTAACAGCATATGATTAGGCCCAACTTGGTCACTGACAAGAACACATGTAGCAGAGCCCATTGAGATGCACTGGTGCTTTGGTTCAGTAGAATGTGAGAAGTGCTGAGATACGACAGATCCAGGTTGACACCAAGGCAGGTGGTACAAATTCATTCTTCCCAGTTTTAGCTTACTGGAGCTGCTATTTATTTTTTTTAATTTTTAATACCCAGCCGGAGTCAAATTACCCTGCAAGTGTGTTGGAATCATTCAAACAAACCTTGTATTTTAAAAGAATTTGCTTCAGGTGCTTTCTGTCAAACATTATAGTTGTCTAACTCAAAAATTTCATGTTGGATGTTTTAATTAAGCTTAGCATTTATTAAAATTTTAAAAACAATATCAACACTTTATTTTTCATCTTTTCATCTTTTCATTTTCATCTTTAAATCACTTCTTGGTCTGCTGCCTTCATACATCTCTTCCTACATGTCTCTGCGTGAGTGCAGTTACAGCGTGCGCTCTCAGGACATTATTACCTGCAGTGTTCCCTCAGTGCAGACTGAACTAGGCAAAAGGACCTTCTCCTACTCCGCTCATGTTTCCTGGAATATCTTGAAAAAAGATCTGAAGCTCTCGACCTTGACTTCTCTAAGGGAAGAACCAATGCAGACATGTTCCCGTTTTTAGTAATCTACATCGCCTTATCATCTAGCTGTTTTTTATCGCTACTTTTTCCTTTTGACTGTCCTTTTGGTTGCCATTTTATTTTAATTTGTAAAAAAGAGAAATACATTTGTATGCCTCTTTTATGACTGTCTATTGTTGTCGTTGTTATCCACTGTTGTCATCACTCTTTGTTAAAGAAATCAGGTCTCTCTTGTAAATGAGTCCCCGAGGCTCAATGGGATTAACCTGTATAAATACAGGTTGAATGAATGTTATGTACAGTGATTCACAGGTAAAGTCACTATCATAACCTTTCAGCCAAACACATTTTAATATAAGAGTGCGTGGCTAATCCTATTTATTCATGGCATCAGAAGCTAAAAAAATGAAACTATAATGTGACAAGTGACAAATCAGAATCTGGCCCCACACATTTCAATTAAAAAAAAAAAATGTCTGTTGAGATATTTGTTTTTTCAATCCCTGTCTTTGCTTTTCTTACATACGTGTGTTCATTGCTCCTTGTATATCAGCAGTTACCATCATCTATTAAATAATCTTTACAACATTAATAAATAGGTTGTTTGAGCCACAGGAACACATGCACTAGGAATGTCCAGTATTATTCTATTCAGAACAGTTCTAATAACTATCTAATGATTATTGTGTACACAGCTGATTTATTAGATTTATAACATGGGGATATTTTAGTGTAACAAGCGTTCTCGTGAGGGATGTGAGATTTTTCAGAGCTTCAGGATAACAGTGTTGCTTTGTTTCTGATTAGCACAAAAGGAACATAAAATATACAACCTTTGCAGTCATTTTGAGGGTAAAAAGATACTGTGTGATTAGCAAAAGTACTTTTGATAAAGCATACTATTTTCTTTTTAATCCACACACTCCCACTGTTTCCCTGCTGTCGACCTCCCTGTGTGCAGCAGCCATGACTAGTCCTTCATCCAGGTCATGCCCTTTTGTATTCCACTATCATACTGGCCTCAGATACCTTATCAGTAACCTCGCCTGGCCTCATCTTACTCCCCCTGCTCCAGCTCGCTGATCTTCCATGCAGCTATGGATTGCACTTGTAATACTGAGATTATATGATGTTTACCTTTAGCTTTCAATCCTCCTCAGACCCCAGTTACTCTAAGTCTGTCTGCTTTACAGTCTATTTGTTTCTTATTTATAGGATTATTTGACACTTTCTTTCTTTCTGCCGATTGTCTTTTTAGCCGATCTTCTGACAGCCCCTCCTGATTTGACAAACGCTGCAGCGATGTATCGTGGTCCAGTTTATGCTCTCCACGATGTCTCCGATAAAATCCCAATGACCAACTCTCCTCTCTTGGATCCTCTTCCTAACTTGAAGATCAAAGTCTACAACTCATCAGGTCTGGTCACACCGCAGGATGACCTCGGCGGAGATTTTACTTCGAAATTATCTCCTAAGGTAATGGTACATTTGCATTCACTTCAGTTGCTGATAAATGCAATCATCTCGCCTCGTTTTAGCCAAAAGTAGAATGTGTACAGAATCAAATCGAAGGAAGTGTGCTTACGCTGCGAGAGCACAGCTGGGACTAAAATGTGCAACTATTTCTAGTCAAAGACAAAACCAAACACTATTAGTATACATGCAGCTCAGTGCCCCAGTTTCCTCCTGCTCTGTCAACTACATGGGCTGCATACGAGAGCAACTTGTCACAAACACAGATGAAACCACTCAGTTTCATCACAGTACCTGACCTTAGGCAGTACACGAGCTGAGCTTCTCATCTCTAAATAAGATGTACTTTTGGATGATTTTTTTTGCTTAAGCTGTTTTTTTAACCGTTACTTCTACACTTGTTGTATTTGGCCTCACCTCAGAAAACTAAGGATATGTTTTCCAAAAGTAGTTTTCTGTTCTCATCACAGTAATTTGTGTGGTTTACAGTAGTCCCTCAATTGTCACGGGGGATCTGTACTCTTAAGACCCGCTGTAAGTGAAAAACCACAAAGTAGGAATAGTATAAAAAATAGTAAGTAGTAGTTTATTTTATTATATATATATATATATATATATATATATATATATATATATATAAAGGCATTTTAAACCATTCCCATACTCTTGCAATATCTTAAACAATATTTCTAAACTGTAAACGCTCTAAAAGAGCACAGAATGCCATTATTTCTCTCTCTCTGCCTCCTCTGCTCGTTGCCACCTGCAAGCGCCCTTGGCCACGCCCACTTCTCCGCTCTGCACGGTGAACAGCTGATCAGCTGTAGCAGGAAGTTTATCCTGCAGTCTGGGCTGCACAAAGGTGCAACAGATGCTAAATAATTTAAAATAATTTATTTAAAATAAAAATTCCATGCCGATTGTGTGGCTCATCTATCAATCAGCCAAGTGTGTGTCATGTCCCATCTTATTTTGAAAAACTGCGATGGAGCGAGTCCACGATAAATGAACCGCGAAGTAGCGAGGGACTACTGTATACCATTTACATCCCCCAGCCAAGAGTTAATTAATGACATTTAATTGATATACCAGTTGTATTTTGCTCTTTGAATGACTTAGTTTGAACAAATAATTTATTCTGACCGAACTGACCTCTTACACAGATGCAAATTTTCCATGACCTGACAAAATAAATAAATAAAAATCTGTATAATTTGTTGAATACTTTGAAATTATAGTGCATTGTAGATGATAAGATACCCTGCGCTGAGCATGAAAAGCCTGCAGCAATCTTTACATCTAAAAGGAAGACACTACACAAACAAAGGTTTCTCTGCATCCATGAACTTTCATTAGAGTTCATTGCTAAATGATCTGAAATTGCTCTTCAAGAAGGATTTCTTTTTTTCCATTCTGATCTACATCTCTTCTATGCATGTTTACGTCATTAGGGTCATAAGGCTTTCATAAAGTATGGCTGCAGCTCACTTTATTCATTCTGTCTTTTGTCATAGGTCTATCTGAAGAAAGGTTACTAGTTGATTTAATATCTGCTGAACACTTCTTATTGTACATGGTGCTGTCACTTTCATTCTACATCCTTTCATGTACAGTACTTTCATCCCCAGATTGTTCAGTCTCTGTTGGACAACAGCGACACCATGAACCTTCGCAACCAGAGCTTGGCCCGGACTCGAGATCCTTCCTGTACAGCTCACGGATCTTTCAACAGCCAGGGGGGACACCTCATCGTTCCCAACTCAGGTTATTTTGTTAGAGCTTATAACTTCTTATATAATTTTGTTCTGATTGGTTGCCAGCAGTTTTATCATGTTGTTTAAGATTTCATATAACTTTGAAATGGTAAAAATACCTGAACTGTCAACAATTTTAATATTATTATTATTTTTTTGGTAACTTTTTTATAAGTTAAATACATCTTAAAACCACATTGAAGCAAATAAAAAAAAATGTGCATATATTTATTATTTCTTTAAAAACCTAAAATCAGATTTAAAGGCTTTAGGTAATGTGTCAACTATAAGACTGTTGTCTTATTTGAGCTTTCTATATCAAGGAGCTGCTATTGTCTTTGTAGCTAAAGTATTCTGCGTCATTATGCAAACACCGAGACTGCTAAGGATTAAAAAAAAATAAAGGTTGCTGACGCCCCAGCCTGGCGAGACATTTAAAAATGTATTCAAACGCAATCATCTCTAAGTGACAGAGACTTTAACTAGTTACTCTTCTTGAACTGAATAAGATGGTGTGACCAAAAGTTTTTTGTTTGTGTGTTTAAATAAGTGCTTAATTTCATCCAAATTACATCAAGGGATTTGCTGGTAGTTCTTGCAGCGTATCGTTTCTGCAATCAGAAAAGAAGACTGCAACTTTGGCATGTGTGGGTGGCATGCCAGGAAATAGACTGCTGGCTACATGAAACAAAAGAGATAAACAGTAGTTTTTTTTCATTTGACATTTAAAAAGAGAACAAGTATGTTGGAATCATCTGACAAATGATTTAAACTGTAGCTGTCTTTCCAAATCAAAATGGTCCTTGAGTGGTGTAAATGATCTTGAGATCCAGTTTAATGTGCAGAAAGTATTTTATAAGAAGCAGTGAAGAACCTCCAGTGTGTGAGCAGTGCTTGCATATTCGTACTCTATGTCTCTGCTGGTATTTATAACTTAAATACTACCTTGAAAAGTTTGCGAACCAGTGATGAATAGTGAACTTAGTAGTTTGTAGGTATTGGTGTGAATTTAAATCACCATCATTCCAGTGTCTCTAGGAATGCAGTAAAACCAATACTGAACAGGAAGTGGACACTTGAAATGTACAGTGACTCTTAGCTTACTTGTCAGTCCACATTAAACCTTGAATTAGTGGGGTAAAAAGGATGATCAAAGAACAGCCAAGTCGAAGCTCAGATTTGAACCCAACCAAATTGGTATGAAACATAAAAGAATAGTTTTAATCATTCATTGAATGGTGAAGATCTTCACAAAGACATCCACATGGAGTTATTTGATTATTATTTTTCTCCTCAATGAGCACTGTTTCAAAAAGAATCCAAGGTTTGCTTAAATATATATCTGTAATATAATTTTCAATAAGAAGATGGGCTCTTTATGTTCATTAAGCTTATAAGTTACATTTTCAAAGTAGCAAACAGACAACTGGCTGAAATAAAGCAGTTCCCAAAATCTACAAAACATTTCATCTATTTGTTCCCTTGATTATTTGTTCAAGAGAAGGTTGTACACTGGATGCCTTTAAGAGGATTGCTTTAAAATGAACCATAATGATAACGTGGTCATTGGTTGCATGTTTAAGATCTCAGCTGTGCATAGTGAAATTAACAAATATTCCTTATAATTACTTTTCCCAACGTTCCCCCCTTTCTTTTCCTCCTCTGTGTAGGTGTGAGCTTGTTGGTCCCAGCAGGTGCTGTTCCTCAGGGAAGAGTGTATGAAATGCATGTGACTGTGCACAGGAAAGACAGCTTAAGGTAAGCTTTTCCTTTATTTTCCCCATTTTAGACTGTCTGTTTCGTGTATGCGAGAGATGTCTTCCACAGTGTGATGCTGCTTAAAGAAGCAGGAGCTGAATTATTTATTATTCACTGTATCGCCACATACTCCGTCTTTGTGTGGCTCATTCAGCAGAGGTCACTTAATACTACAACATCAAGCACTAATATCAGAATTAGAATTACACTGAGCAGATTAACATTGGGAAAATGACACATCCATAATTGTGTGATTAACATCATAATCTGTTCCGTAATCCACAAAATTAATTCACATTTCAATCAGTTTTTCACTGTTTACAGCCAGTACACTTTGGCCAAATATAAAGTACTTGTTGTTTCATGTTTTTAAATGTTTGAACATAATTTTAACTAAAGCGCCTCAACTGATTGGCATTTACTTTGTGGGATGTTTAGGAGTCAAAGAATAATTATTAGGCTTTTAAAGCAAATACATTGAGATCTGTCTCTGCACAATAACTAAAAGATTAGTGGCCAGTTTGGGGATTATTGTAATCCTATTACTTGCATTATAATTTTTTCTCATAAATTCTGTACAGGGTTGAGGTAGAACTCTGTTTTGTGCACAAAAGGCAAATAGGATGATTTTTTTTAAATGTTCTAATTAAGAGATATTTCTATGAGAATGACTAGAAACATGATATTTCATCCTGCTTATTTACTTATTTTTCCCATTAAACTGAACTGGGCTAAAAGCATCTATGTGGCTTGGAGTAATTAAGAAAATATATCTGTGTGCAACAAACATTATAGGATTTGTAGCACTTTGCAAGAGACACAGTCTGACACACTCTGAGCCATGTTTTCTGTCCCATGCATTTCATTCTGGCTTTTTCCCAATCAATGGCGATCAATAGCAATTACACCCCACGTTACTCGCAACAGTATTTCTAAGAGTCAAATGTCTCCTGTGTCCTCTGTCTTTATTTCACTCAATAACTGGCAAGCAAAATTTACAAAGTTAGAGATGTTGACTTACCTTAGCTTGGCAATCCAGAAATTTGTGCTTTAGGAATGAATTCAAGGAACCACATTCACAACTCTTACACTTACGGTCTTTTAGTGTTTTATAATAAATGTATAGCATACAGGCTGTGACCAGTCTATAAACTCTATCTGTGCCAATTGAGATATAGTGACTAAATGTGTTCTAGCGCAATAAGGCCACTGGATAATCACCATTTTTTTGTATTTTAAAAGTTTAAAATCTAGTATTAGGTTTAAATTTACTGATAGCTGACAAGCACTAAATAATGAATACTAATGGAATTCAATCTACATAGTCTCACATGTTTCACAGGAGATGAAGATCGAGATGAGATGAGATCGAAGCTTATTTTTCTTTACTGTAACATAGAGCCCATTAGATAGTGAGTGCTTCAGGTTCTAAAGCTCAGATGTACCATAAAAGCAAAAGAGTGTGTGAACATTTCTTTCTTCTTTTGTGCTGTGGACTACTGACTTCAGCTGGTGTTGACTAGACCAATTGTTTTTCATATGAAGTTTAGTGGCTCTGAGTTCTTCTGTTCTTTCCCCCTTATTTGTAGAGGTAATCTGACATGTTGTCAAACTTTGTGTTGAAAAGTCTGCACTTGCAGTTCATCACATTTTCTTTTTTATTTATTGCTGTTGTTGGATTTTTCAGTTTTGTGACTATGATGTTTTATTAGGGGTCCAAGTCAGCCGAGGCTGGGGAACACAGCTGCAATGCATGAGTCCCCGAGGCTCAATGGGATTAATCTGTATAAATAAACGTTGAATGAATGAAACAAGCAGAGCAAAACATGGAACCCGGTTGAAACTGTTGCATAATTTTTATTTATATATTTTTATTTTTATTCCATAAATAAAAGTCATGCTGCAGCCCAAACTGCAAGGAGTATTAAAATGTTTACATGGTAGTACCTATGGCCTGCAGGAGTATGGCAGAGAAATATACATGTTCACCTGTAGAGGGTGCTATAATTTGGAAGCTCATACCTCAAGGATAATAGTTCACAAGTGAAATGGGCGTGGCCTACAGCATATCAAAGAAAAAAAAAATCTCAAAATCAAAAACTTCAAAAATCTTCTTCTCCAAGAGCTTAAACTTGGACCCCTCTCTTGCTTTTTTTTTTTTTTTTTTCAACAAAGATCAGCAAGGGAAGAAATACAGAATTGTTCTATATACCATCCCAGATCAAAGAGGGGACATTGGAAATAGCCTCCATCCGTTTGTCCAAGCATGTTGTGAGCTTATAACTTGACTTGTAAAGCAAGCAATGTACTGACTTCCATTTTGATTTCAAGCTGCATCTAGATGTGAGAAAGTAAGAAAGGCCCTTTCAAAATTGGGTTGCTATATCAAAATTCAATCCAGAAAATCACTCAGCTCAAAAACTACAAGAGCTCACTATTCAAATTCTTCAGCGTCATAGTATATAGGTGAGCCACGTGTTGCTGTTGGTGGAGGGGGTGAGATTTAAAGCTTGTGAACACACTTAAAATGTCTTTTTTTTTTTTTTTTTGTGAAAGCATTACCCAGTTATAGCACATATGTTCCAGGAAACCGTTCCAGCTACTAGATTACCATAGTGCTCAGTATGAACTGGAAGTTTCCCCTTTAAAATGGGAGACTCTCCAATGGTCGTGGAGAACAGCAGACCTAAATGTATGTATGTGTGCTTCAAGGTGAAGGTTTATGGATTGACTCTGTGCCCCTTTTTGTTTGCTCTGGTCATTAACAGACTAACAGGAATCCCCGTGGTCTATAATGTTTGCAGACAATATTGTGATCTGTGGTTAGAACAGGGAACAAGTGGAAGAGACCTTAAAGAGGTGGAGGTACGCACTTGAAAGAAGAGGAATGATAGTCAGCTGTTGTAAGACAGAGTCCATGTGTGTGAATGAGAGGGAGGCTGGTGGAACAGTGAGGCTACAAGGAGCAGAGGCCACAAAGGTGCAGGACTTCAAGTACTTCAACTGTCCAGGAAAACGGGGGGTGTGATGAAGAGTTGAAGAAGCAAGTCCAGGCAGGATGGAGTGGATGGAGAAAGATTTCAGGTGTGATTTGTGACAAATGGGTGTCAGCAAAGGTCAAAAGAAGAAAAAAAATACAAAGTATAACATGACCAGTGAGACTGACAAAAAGACGAGATAAATAACTGGAAGTGACAGAGCTGAAGATGTTGAGGTTCTCCTTAGGAGTGACAAGGATGGAGAAGATTTAGAAAGAGATCAGCAGAGATACAGCACAGTTTGAAGGGCTGGGAGATAAAGTTAGAGAGGCCAGACTGACATGGTTTGGACATATTCATTGGAGGGACAGTGGGTATATTGGTAGAAGGATGTTAGAAATGCAGCTGCCAGGAAAAAGACAAAGAGGAGATATATGGATGCAGTTAGAAAGGACATGGAGGGAGTTGGTGTGAGGACAGAGGGTGCAGAGGACAGAGTGAGATCGAGAGGGATGACTTGCTGTGAAGACTAATGAAAATGTAAATGCTTATAGAAGAAAGATAATTAAGGCTTTGTAAAAAAAAAAAAAAAAAAGCTGCTGAGACATATGTCCTTATTAAGACCTTATATTTTCTCCTCATCAAATTTCAAGTCTGTGATACACAAGGTTGAATGAGTTCTGCAGATTAGATTAGTCAGGGTCGAAATACATCAAGTAGCTCAGACCCCAGTAATTGCTCACAGTTCTAGTTTTGTTTGTCTGAATTTTTTTAACTTGGTCCATTCTTCCCAGTTTCAACATGTTAAAGGGAAGCTGGCCTGCACTAAAGTGCCAGATGGTAAAACCTGTAGACAGAAACCTGTTGCACATCATATCAGACAAAGATGAACAATTTTAGAAAACTGCAGCACATTAATTACAATGAAATCACAAAAAGCCTCACATTTTTCATAAGTCTTGCTAATTTGAGAGCCATGATGAAATCCTAACTTAAACACATTTTCCTTTTTGACTTTTAACTCAGTTTGGGAGTGGTGGTGCAGAGGTTAGAGAAGGTGGGCCTGTGGTCGGAAGATCGCTGGTTCAGCTCCCAGTACCGACAACATCAAAACGTGGGTGGGATAGGTGAAGCGCCCCACCTGCCTCTACCCTCAATTACCCCACTCTGGGCCCTTGAGCAAGGCCCTTAACGCCCACCATCTGCTCCTCCGTGTACTCTATAGCAGAGGGTTGTGGTAGCTCGGTGGTCTGTGGTTGCATCAGGAAGGGCATCCGGCGTAAAAATAATTGCCACGTCTTTGTGCGACTTAGTTCACTGTGGTGACCCCTGATGAAGGGAGCAGCCGAAGGAAGAAAAACAAAAACACCAGTTTAATGTGTTGGCTTTTATTGTTCTTTTTGTTTGCTTGTTGCTTTGTATGTTTTTTGTTTTTTTGGACTTAGTAGTTTTTTTCCTTAGGTTTGAAATTTTACGTATTTTAATTCAGCTTTTTATTTCATTTATGTTTTACTTTTGTCATGTGTACATCATTTTGCCCAATGATGGTGTTATAAAAGTGCTCTATAAATAAAGTTGCAATATATTGTATTTTATAAAAAAGACAATTCTTATAAGTTAAAAGACTTAATTCTTGTAAGAAAGACAAAGCAAAAATAAAGGATATGTTGAGAAAATGTCATCACTACATTTTAATAGTTGCAGATGATCTGCTATGGCACATTGTGAGTGTGAGTTCTGGATGAAGAGGATTTTGAATGAAATCACAACTTTCTTAATTGGGATATTTATCTACACTGTCTTATTCTACACAAATCATTGTTAGTTGCAGTATTTGAACAGTGCTCTATCACAGCACTGCATTTAATAAATGAAACTCACTACAACTGGTGGCAAACAGCGCATCCTTCCTCCGTCTTTGATCGTTGCACCTCAGCGTTATCTATCTTCCCCAGACCCCCGGTAGAAGACATTCAGACAGTTCTCAGCCCGGTGGTGAGTTGTGGGCCTCCAGGAGCCCTGCTGACCAGACCAGTGATCCTCACTATTCACCACTGTGCAGACAATGTGCAGGAAGACTGGCTTATACAGCTCAAGAATCAACTGGCCATGGGAGAATGGGAGGTGAGTGTTCAGCAAGGGTATCTGGTATGTTCGTGTGAGCTGGGTATGTTTAACATTATTCGACCGAACTGTAATATACAGACAAAACATGGGTTTATTGTGTTGCAAATATGTTCTTTAATTAAATTTATTATAATGCCCATTTGTATAAACAGACACATGCAGACAAAGATTTCATATACAAGAAAGTGTGTAAGTTATTGCCCAGCTGCACCCGTCCTCATCTGAATTTATTAACATGTGGCCATAAATACAGACGGCTTATGTACACAGGCATGCACACATTGAAGAATAATCTAAATTACACAGATATTCTGTGTATGCGGGCAAGAAGTGGGGAGAAAATGAAGAAAAGAAGAGAAAATGTGGTAAACACAAAGTGCCTACAGGCTAGCAGACATGCAGGGGGTTGAAGACTCCTATCAGAGGCAATTTGTTATGCTCTTGCTATCATTTTCTCCTTTCATCTCTCCTTATATTTCTCTCCATCCTTTTTTTCTCTAGCCCTTCTTTTCCCTCTTCCTGTGTCTCTCAGCATGAAGTCTCTACCTCAGCAATCCATTTCATGTGTGCGTGACAGCAGTCGCATGTATGAATGCATGTGTGTATCGTTGTGTGCGTGGGTGTGGGTGATAAGGCTGTCTTGCAGCATCGCTGTGTCAACAAGGCTCCCGTATGCTGTCTTCTGTTGCTTATCACAGCTCAACACAATGTCTCTGCACAATTAGTCATGCATAAGATTTGGTGTGAGCATGTCCTTGTGTGTGCACGTATGAGAAAGAGAGAGAATGATGGAGAGAAAGAGAGAGGGAGATGCTCAGAAGGGTTTCGAGTGAATAAAGATGAGAGAAATGAAAAGTGGAATTTCATCACGAAGTCGATTTGTTTTTCTCTCATTGCCGTAGAACGTTCATTTCCCATCAGAAAGTTTCCCCCTCCTAAAACAGCCAGTGGGAGGTAATTGAATTCCCCTCGTATCAGGGAGGAGCAGCCACAGTTGTGATTACCAGTAATAACAGATTCAGACCATATTGCTTTCCTACCTCTTTGTATTGATTCAGCTCATCTCTAGGAACAAAACTCGTCGTGAACTGTGACTCAGAACTCAATATTTTTTATCACACATGTGCATGTAGAACATTGATTCCACAGTGCGTTGGCATCTGCGGGCGCGGACACATAATTACTCTCACACAGACAGCTGAAGATGCAGTAGGCAGATAACAAGAACCCAATGATGCTGTGCATCCCCATAGAGTTAAAAAGGTGGTATGGCTTTATTATAACTTGGGCGTTTTCAGAGTCTGTGAAAATGACAAGAACAACCTCCAGAAGATTATCATACAAGATTGGGCAAGGTTCACCAACAAGAGCACCAAACAAGTGACATCATGTCCTAATATATATATATTAATTTACCATAAGATATATATGTATGTATGTATGAGTTTACATTTTATTGTCAGGGCAGGTTCACAATCTGTTGAACTAAAGCTTTCTGCTAGAATTTAATAGACTTTGTTCATGGTTTCAGCACAAAGAAAGAAACTGTCCATATGACCTGACTGAAAATTATTGGATTGTATACCTGGATTATTGAGCATGGACTTTGTTGACTTTGTTCATTGTTTTCAATGAATAATTCAGCTCTTTTAAATTAGGGTTTTATGAAGGCCATGCTATATAGCAGCAGCTACATGCACTCCGCCATCTTTAGGATGACTGTACAGACATATTCTCATTGTATCTCGGTGCATTGATAATAAAGCTGATTTTGATGAAAAATGTATGAATCACCAACATCTTACCTGTCTTTCCTTCCAGTTACTTCAGTTTGGAGAAGTAGAGTTTTTAAAAGACTGACAAGCTAAAAGCTTCAAACTAGCCATAAGCTAATTGGTCTGGTCAAATTAAAATTGTTTTATTTATTTTCCAAAACTGAGGTTGTTTTAAAGAGTCTTTAACAACAGGTAAGATATTCATTGTTCACAACCTTTCCACAGAACCACCCTCCAAAAGATTTAAACAATCAATTTCACTGTTTGCATTAAATTTAGAGGTGTTCTATGTTAAAATTTAAAACTAATGCTGTATTTTGTATTTATTGTGTTTCTACAAAACTTAAAACATGAGTTGTTTAGTGACTCAAAAAGGGTCTACTTTATTTGAATGCATCTGGCGTAAATCACAGTTATGTTAACTCACTGGGTGTTTACATTAAAGGCTCCATGTGCAAATCAAGTTGTGCTATTTTAATGAATGTGGCTCAGAGCCTGTGAAAACACAAATAAAGCCAGCATCCAAATAACATCCAGGTTTAAATAATGAATGTTTGTATGGACAAATAAAGCACAGTCCCAAATAAAGTTGAGCAAACAGGAACTGGACCGTGGATCAGTTTGTTCACTTTTTTTTTTTTTTAATCAACAAAACTTGGTTCTTTTGTAGTCAATATTTGGTTGAATGTTTAATTAGGGAAATGCAGTTTTTTTTTTCTCTACAGAAAACTATGATTCACATCTGTCTCATAACTAGTTTGACAAAACTGAAGCCAGATTAATTACTTAATATACATATATACATTCAAAATGACATTTTATAAAAATGTTTGAATTTGTGTGTGTGTGTTTGTATCCAACAGGACGTGGTTGTAGTGGGAGAGGAGAACTTCACCACGCCCTGCTATGTGCAGATGAACTCAGAGGCATGTCATATTCTGACGGAGACGCTGGGGACTTACTGCTTGGCGGGCCAATCGATTGGCAAAGCAGCCGCCAAGAGGCTCAAGCTGGCTGTCTTTGGGCCCGTCTCGTGCACAACTTTGGATTATCACATCAGGATTTATTGCCTGGATGACACTCAAGATGCACTTAAGGTAAAGTCTAAAAAAAAATGTGAATATGAGCATAAATTTGCCTGCCATACACACTGCGATACTGTTGTGGGCAAAACTTTGAAAAGTTTTTCTGCTGCCTTGAAAAGAGTGTTTCTGCATCCTTTAGTCCTGTGAGAGATTTAGTTTTGTTTGTATCACTCATAATAATATTCTCGCCTGATCATTTGCATTTGAAGTAGGATCTTTTAGAGCTTGAACAAGGATGGGTTGTATAAAGTCATACATCGCAGTATCTTCACCTCTAGTCTTATGCTGATGTGCTGAGAAGCGGTAAACAAAACAGGGTCAAGCAATGTCAGCGCAGAGATGCATTAGAATTTCAACAAATTCAAAGCACTGGAGGGACCATCTGATACGGCAGATTAACATTGGTAATTTATTCTTGCGGTGATAAGTCAGTGCAACTGTGCACACAATCACATGAACATCAACGTGCACTCGGCTTCACCAGTTCGAGCAAACAGTTGTAGCTGGAAATGGAAGTTCAAAGGTGGACTTTTAATGATTAAAAACTTGGTGTGGGATGACTGAAGTTGAGTTTTCTACATCTGATTTGAAGGGGAAAAAAGCTTCTTTAAACTTGTACTATTTGTTTTAATATGCTTTTATTTAGTCATTTTTGTGAGAGTTTTATCCGTATGTTGCCTTTAATGCACGTTGGTGTTTCTGATGGTTTATTGTAATAAAAGATTCCCCTTGGTCAGGTTTAAGTGGCTGAATTGGCGTCATTTATTTAGTAGAATGTGTAAAAATCATAGGATGGTGTAAACAAAATGTCATTTAAACATTTGCAGGACACGTCAAAGTACACTGCTTTTTCTTTGGTATGGAACTGGAAAATGCATCAGATGCTGTGCATTATTTATAACAACTTGTTTGTTTCAACTCTTCAAAATGAAAATGCCAAGATGTATCAAAAAAAATAAAATAAATGAAATTGGTGCGAGCTTTTAGTTCCAGCCATTTATTTATTTTTTATTATAAAGCATTATTAACGGTTGTGGTTGTGGTGGGGATATGATTATGGACATTTTGCAGTTTGTAATTTACTGCTTTAGTGAAAGCACATTTTTAATGCATGAACATTTATGTAAATTAACCAAACAAACTTGAGCTTCCTGGTCACTGCAGAAACCTCAGCACATTCATGTGTTAGTTTTATCCAGCAGTTCAAGATGCAAGTTGGTCATTGGATCCTCTCTGTGCTGAAGGGCTCTAATATTAGAATTTATTTACACTTTGAGTTATTATCAGAATGTAAATTAGAACAAGAACGAGAACTGGCAGAACAAGAACCATTTAGCAGGAACAGCAGGGACTGTTTGTGTTTATAGTTTCACCCCTAAGCTGAAGGTTTGTTTATCCAAGTATAAAATACAAAGGTCGTAAAATGAAGATGAGTGACACATTAATATTCAAAAAAATATTCTCCTTAGTGTGTGGTTTTAGTTTAGCTCAGAGGAGGTTTGCTGCAATCCAAGAGGTCTGATCAGATCTCGGCAACATTTTCTGTGTTTCAACAATATTTTATTCATAATTATACAAACTTAAGACTCAGTGGAATGACGTTTACGTAAAGAAATTGTTCAGGGAGCAAAATTAAGTGAAGACAAACATGCAGAGGAAATTCAAATGTTCCTCTCTCCTGCTTTGGTGTTCTGTGTAGGAGGTTCTTCAGATGGAGACCCAAATGGGAGGGAAGCTTCTGGACGAACCAAAAACTCTGAATTTCAAAGACAGCACGCATAATCTGAGACTGTCCATCCACGATGTGCCACACACACACTGGAAGAGCAAACTCATCGCAAAATATCAGGTGCTGAGACCCACCGACACACTCAGACCCACGCCACGCAGCACACACGGCGGATAGAACTGGACCTGAAAATGTCTTTATTCATCTACTCCTTAGGAGATCCCATTCTACCAGGTGTGGAGTGGCAGCCAGAGGACTCTTCACTGCACTTTTACCTTGGAGAGACTGAGCTCAGCCATCACGGAGATCAGCTGCAAGCTGTGTGTGAGGCAGGTAGAAGGAGAAGGACAAATTTTTCAGCTCAGCGGCACGTTGGAGGAGGTAAAAACACAAAAACACTCAAACTCTGTAAGACAATGCTGATATTAACAATGACTTTTACCTCGTAACGTGTCCGTTCCAGTATGAAAAGCTCTTAAAAGTTATTTTTTGTTTGTTTCCCCTGTCAGTCAGTCAGAGTCCTGCTATGGTTCTGTGACTTTATTCAATCATTCAAACACCAGCTGGAGGTCACACAGCACCACAGGAATAACTCCTGTTTGATTGTATTTGGTTGTGTAACCACAAAGCCACATAAAGTGTGTATTTGTGTTTCTGTTAGTGTGTGAGCAGCTTTATTTCATGATGATTAGGGCTAACAACTCAAACTTCAGACTTGTTGAAAACTTCTATTCTTAAACCTTGTACAATCAAAGACGTAGGCAGGCTTTTTTTTTTTTTTTTTTTTTTTTTTTTACATGGAACATGTTTTTTTTCTTTGCCTAATTAAAGAGCAAAATGAAAATGATGGTCAAAAATGTTTTACTATTAATGAACTGTTTTTGTAAGCCAAGACTCTCGAGCGGCCTTTGATTTGTTTATTAGGCCACATGTTCAGATCTTTGATATATTTGTGGTAAGTTAATTCTCACTGGTATCTGTTTGGCTCAAGGCTACGCACACATTTTATTATATTATCTTACCTTTGAAATTACCCTACTTTTCTGTCTTTCTTTTATCTTTAAATATTAGTTACACATCTGTACAACTTGCACATTCTGCCACCTACTGAGTGTCTAATGGAGTCCAGCAAGTTTTACATCAAAGCAGATATTTGTTATCTCTTGTTGTTCAAATAGACCAATGAAGTGAACATTAATGTGTTCTCAAAAGTCTGCATACGAGAACTATGTGATACAAGAGCACAAAGGAGCCCAAGCCTCCATGGGGCCCTAAGCAAAATCTGGTTTGGGGCCCTCTATTTCTGCTAATAATGTGGATTACTGCATTCAGCAGTCCGATGATCAGATCATTCACTCACCTAACATAAACACATTGAAACTCTACAAAATAAATAAATAAATAAATAAACACCAGCAATGTATTTTACAGCAAAAGTGTAATCTGGTTTATTATCTTTGGTTCCAAAGAACTGCAACAGTAATGTTCAAAAATAATTTGTAATGCAAGATCAACAACACACAGATAAAAATAACTTAGATGCATAAAAATGCATTAAATTGCTCAAAAACAGACAAAATTAAACAAAAAAAATTAATATCAAGGTCATAAATAATGTAAATGAACAATTACTTGAAACCATGCAAAATGGTTTAAAAATAAATTTAAAGTAGAATAACTAGTTATTAAAACTATGTAAATGTATGCAAAAATATGCAAAAGCTGAATTTAAAATATTAAATAGAATCATATAGAAAACATTACTTAAAAAAATAAAATAAAATCCTCTTAGGGGGCCCTCTAGTGGCCCAGGGGCCCTAAGCAGCCAATAGTTTGCTTATGTCATTGGACCGGCCCTGTAGAGGAGCATCTAAATGATTATTGAAAATGATTGTTGTGAATAAACAATGGCTATGCAGCATTGAGTTCTTTTGTCTCAGTGGTGCAGTGGGTGTGTGCTGCCGATGCACAGGCAGAAGATCTTAGTTTCAAATCTTGACAGGTTTTTTTCTATGTGGAGTTTGTATGTTTTTCCTGCACATGTGTGGGTTTCCTCTAGTATGCAGCCCAAAAACATGCAGGTTAGTGAATCTCGATTGTTCTTAGGTGTGTATGTGCTGTGTGTAGGCTGCACACCTGCCTGTTGATTGAGTGAGAGAGTGAGTGAGTCATTGATTCTGATGGTGGCTGAAGTCTCTTCCTCTTAGATCGGTCATTCTCTTGAGTTTCACACTCGAGTCCAGCAGGTCCATTAGGTAAGGGTAACTCAGTGCCAGCAATATCAGCAGAAGTGATGGAGGCACTGGTGCACAGATGTAGGAGTCATGATAAGGTGTAGCAGCTGTGGTAAAACAGTACTGGTAGTGGTGGAGGTGCAGCTGGAGCCAGTATTTTCAAATGTGAACATGATTTTCCACTGGAAAGTCTGTTCCATCAATTTGAATTCAATTCAATTTATTTATATAATTCCAAGTCATAACAGAAGTCATCTCAAGACACTGAACAGAAACATTCAATTCAATTCAATCCAATTTGCAATACAATACAACTTTATATATAAAGCACTTTTAAAAACAACACCAATGGTCAAAGTGCTGTACAGTAACGCATGCAAGCATAAAAACTATCAAATCAATTGAAAACATAAAAGTAATGAACTGTTAAAATCATAAAAACAACAACCAATAAAAACAGTAAAACAACTTAAAAACAGTAAAACGAACATTTCAAGCGGAGTTAAAGCAAAAGAGAAAAAAAAAGTGTCTTCAGAGAAGATTTCAAAACAGGAAGTGAGAGTGAGAGTTTAGGAGCAGCGACTGAGAACGCTCGGTCACCTCTCAGCCTCCTGTTGGTCTTTGGAACAACCAGCAGCAGCTGATCAGCTGATCAGCTGACATGAGAGAGCGTGAGGGAACGGACAGCTGGAGCAGGTCGGACAGATACTGTGGGGCGAGGCCATGAAGACATTTGAAAACAAATAAAATAACCTTAAAATGAATCCAGAAACAAACAGGGAGCCAGTGTAGTGATTCTAAAACTGGGGTGATGTGCTCTCGTTTTCTGGTACCAGTAAAAAGATGAGCAGCTGCATTCTGAACCAGCTGAAGTCGAGTCAGTAATGACTGGCTCAGACCAGCATAAAGGACATTACAGTAGGGGCTCCCAAACTTTTCCATGCCATGGCCCCCCAAACATCATTAGCTTCTGACCGAGGCCTCACTCGCAAACCCACAAACAATGCTACAAAATATGTAAAACTGTTTAAATTTTTATTCACTATATTCAATTAATTATTACGGCTGCTGAGCATAAAAATGTAAACTAACATGTTTTAAACACTGTATTATATTCCCGCTGAAAAAAAAACAACTTTTCAACAAACTGCCATCAGTGTGCTAATGATCCATTGTTAGGCTGATGGTCCTCCTTGAATATGTGAGCAACTGGTTTTGGTTGTCAGCAGCAAACTGGTTGATCCACTGCGAGAGGGTGCTATTTATAAGACTGAGCTGAATACAGCACCTCAGACTGAGGAAGTCTTTCGGATGAAAGATGAAACGTTTCTACAATTTGTTTATTTATTTATTTTTATGAATGTTCAAAGGACCAGATTTAACTTTTTTTAGATTTTCAACAAACTCTTAACCAGAAGAACAAAACAAAATAGATCTAACCTCTCTCTCAAGCATTTTTATCTGGAAATTACAGATAGCGATAGACCTAGTGGGAAAAATTTTATTATTACATTTTTTTTATTTTTTGTTGTTTTTTAATATCTTCCTCTCTCAGAGCTGGGGGTGGGGGTGGGGGGGGGGGTAGCTCCTCCTGGTGGCTCTTACTTTGAAAAACACTTCTAATAAAAGCATGGATTAAAATCTCAAAATGGTGTCATGACAGAAACGGTTTAACCTTGGCCAGTTGTCTCAAGTGATAAAAACTAGACTTGGTCACTGATTTAATCTGTGCATCCAGTTTAAAATCATTGTGCAGCCTCACACCCAGGTTAGTCACTGTCTCAGTGAGATGTTTTGTTAAAGGACTCATGTCAGCATGAACTTTGGAACCATCACTGGGCTTAAACAACAAGACCTCGGTCTATTCCTCATTAAAAAGTAAAATGTTCTGTGACATCATGCTCTGACTTCTGCCATACATTCCAGGAGTCGGTTCATAGAGTATTGTTTATCTTGTTTAATGGCACATACATTTGGCTGTCATCAGCATAAAAATGAAAAGTAACTCCATGTTTCCGGAGAATATATCCCAGTGGGAGTAAATAAAGGGAAAACAGGATGAAATCTCCCACCCAGACAAGTGAAGTTTATTATTTTTAGTCACACTCATACCGTACATCTATTTTCTTTAGTTAACGTCTGATACCAAATACTATTAATCATCACTAAAGATGTGCAGAATCACACTATAAAAAAACAGGAAGTATGCCTTTTTACAAAAATATGGTTCTCAACATAATGATAAATACAATATTTAGCTAACTGTATATTCCACTGGAAACATCTGTACCTCTAATTAAACTGCAAAATATTTGCCTCAATCAATTGTATTTTAATGGGTAAAACAATTAAGTTTAGCATCATAAGAAACAAAGAAAATAAATCATCATACTTATATTATTTGCTATGTTTTAAATAAAACTTTGGAAATCTTTAACCTTCTAGTGCTATAGGGAAAAAAAAAGACTTTAAATCAGATTTAAAGCATTTATCTTTTCAGCTCGGACTTTGAAATGTCCCTCTGCATCAGTCATCCAGTGTCAGCTGTAAAGTGGGGCTAAGTAGGCACAGTAAATAGTTCTTATTCACATCAGTGGTGGCAGTTGTCGTTTCCCTCTGCCAAGACACATTCATTAGTCTGCAGCCTCCTTTCAGCTCTGGGGTGGCAGAATAATGTGAAGGTTCAGAAAGAATTGGAGATCGACAGCAAGAGCAAAGTGTGTGCTCGACAGCAGATCTCTGGGTTTGCTTCACTCATATTGATCAGGAGTTTCTGGGTTGGTCAGAGCAAACACAAGTCTTTACCTAAAGGATGCATGCATCAGAAATACAATCAGTTAAACAGCTAGATGAACATATGCTGTCAAATATGTGTGCATTTTAAAAGTTTCGTAGGTTTATTGTCCACAATACAAGAGGTGTTCAGTTCAAATGTGGGATCAAAGAAAGATCAAGTCAGAATTTTAAAGTTCAACCAAGTCATTGGGATAAAGAGATGTCTTAATGTTTGATAGGAACCATACAGGGTGTTTTCTCCATCGCTTTGCTTCTTTCACATACAAATAATATCAATAAATATTAAGTTGTTTGGGCAGCACGGTGGCGCAACTGGTAGAGCTGCTGCCTCTCAGCGAGCAGGTCCTTGGTTCAAAACCCGGTCCAGGGGCCTTCTGGGTGGAGTTTGCATGTTCTCTCCGTGCATGCGTGGGTTTTCTCCGCGTACTCCGGTTTCCTCCCACCGTCCAAAAACATGCATGTTAGGCTGATTGGTAACTCTAAATTGTCCCTAGGTGTGAGTGAGAAAGTGAATGGTTGTTTGTCTCGTTTGTCTCTATGTGGCCCTGTGATGGACTTGCGACCTGTCCAGGGTGTACCCCGCCCCTCGCACAGTGATTGCTGGACATGGGCACCAGCGACCCCCGTGACCCAAAATGGAATAAACGGGTAAAGATAATGGATGGATGGATGGATTAAGTTGTTTCAGTCGGGCAGTGTTTTATCGCTCCCTGAGTCTGGGGACATTTTTATGTCAAATCAAACTCTCAGTTCGCTGCTGGACATTCAATAAATCATCCATTAATGATGGTTTGGTCAAATAGGATCAAGTGTGTTTTAAGTTTTGACTTGACTGGGTAGAACTGTCCAAATAAAAAGCTTATTAGAAGCTTTTCATACGAATTATCGATAAACATGTTTTATTTCTTTCATCCAGGTTGGATGAGAATGTTCAACCTTCTTTTCCTGTTTTGGCTTTTTAGACACAGACGTAACAGTTTTCCTTCTCTTGAGGTTTTGTTTTCTAAGGTTTGTGTGTCTTCACCTCGCTGTAGGTTGGCCCACCAACTACGCTGTACAGTATAACATGGCAAAGCCCAGAAAAACATGCACACTTTTAAATGGAGAAAGCATGTACGGTTGAAACAATGCATCTTCCATTAAAATTTTAGTTGATGTGTGTCCTAAAAAAAATTAACTTGTGTCCAGATCTGGACCTGGAGCCTCATGTATCAGTGAGTGTGCAGTTTTACTACTGTATGTTTGTGTAGGGACAAAACCAGAAAAGTGCATGTGCACAGAAATATTTAGATTTATCAAACCGTGCAAAAGATTGCATGAAGGTAAGCACATTCTCACAATAGGTCAGAAGTGTATATTTGTGCACATTTTCATGAAGTATTTATTTCAATACATCCACTTATATGTGAGGAAACTGTAACCTTTCTGGTGTTAATACATGTGGCACCAGTACTATACTATTTAGCATAGCTCAAAAACTGCTTTTCTTTCTATTACCTTTTTAAAACTTTGTCTCAACTACTTGTTTTCTGTTCTTTCCAGGAGGTCCAGTGTATAGACACTTCTCTAATGGACCCTGCAAGTAATATCACAACCTTACTGGGGCCTAATGCCTTTCGAATTCCATTATCCATCAGACAGAAGTTGTGTGGCAGTTTAGACGCACCACAGACTCGAGGCAATGACTGGAGGATGCTGGCCCATAAACTCAACCTGGACAGGTAACTCTCGTCTTCTTTGTTTGTTTGTTTGTTTGTTTACCTTTGACTCAATTTAAATCATAAACACATATTTGAATGTAAATGCTGCATGTCTTGACTGATGACCCAGAGTGCAATTCTGTTGACTTTTAGGCCTGTCACGATAACACATTTTGCTGGACGATTAATTGTCTCTGAAATTATTACGATTAACGATAATATTGTTTGAAATTTGACAATAATTAGTAATTATTGTTAAATTTAAGAAGAAATGTTTAATTTGTTTTGCATGTAGTACCTTTTTCGACCACCGGATGGCAGTATAAGACTGTTTGAACCGAAGGATGGATAGTCAGGGAGCGAGTAGTGTGTCTCTAAGAAAAATGGTAGGGAGTTCCCTTGACATGAAATGAGCTGTCTTGCTTTGGTTCTCAAAATGGTGGAAGCTCGGTGCAGTTTGAGCTCTTAAGCATAGCATTTTTCACACAAAGCTTTTAATAAAAAATCAGTAACAAGTTCTCAGCTTCTTTTTGCAGAGAAACAACTTTTTACACAAAGGCACGGGTTTCAACCGTGAATTTTGGAGCGTCGACAAGAAGGCGGTTTTCCCCCCCGAGGTCGGCCTGTTAGCTTAGCTCGTAGCTTAGCTTCTCAGCTTAGATTCTCAGCTTAGCTGCTTTTAATGATCCAAAAACGTGATTTTGAATGGTTAAAATGGATTTTAAAGAGAAAAGAGAAAGGGAGGGGTCAGTGAAGAGCACCGGAGTTGAGCCTTTTATCATCTAGTGTGTTCAGTAGAAAGAGAGAGACTTAAAGAAACGATAAAGCCGATAAATGAAAACGAGGTCGATAATTTTCATTTATCATGCGATTAATTGATTTATTGTTTATTGCGACAGGCCTATTGATACGTTTTCTTTGGACTCTATTAAACAGCTGCATACATACATGGTACAAAGAAAAAAATCAATAGAAATGAATTTACAATCATTGTGCTGATGGTGTTTTAGCACAATTTTTAAAAGAATCTGGTCACGTGTTTCAAACATACAGTACGTCGCCATCATAAATCAACAATGAAAACTAAATATGTTTATCAAAAAACAAAGTGTTTGTTGATTTTCTGCCTCCGATTGGACGCACAACCATAACAATCCCAGGTTTGCCATGCACAGATGTTTGTCTTGATGATTCAGTCTAGTGGTTAATTTAGTTGCTGCTTTCCAAGCCAGATATTGAGAGGATAATTAGGCACAAGTGCACATCGTTGTCCCAACAGGCAGCCGGCTCACGATGCAGCCGGTTGATGTGGGCACCGACTATTTCTGATCAGCGGGTGAACTGGTTGCAAAATTGTTGTTTACGTCCATATTTTCTACTAAAAAGTTTGCTTCAAAATAAGCATAATAGCATGCTATTACAAGGAAACACCATTGTCTTTGTTCTGTTCTTGTAAATGTCACGTTGTATCAGGGACCTCACAACAGGATGCACGCTTAGCCGCCATGTTGCATAACGTGCTCGTTGTTCATGGATAAGAATCAAATTGTCTTTATTAGATGGTTTGAGTGAAAGAATATGTGAAAGAAAATGTCACATTTTCTGTAGGACAAAAGTGGCTGAAAGGAGTAGAACAGTGGTGGTATGTGTCTCTGCTTCCATTTGAACAGCACTAAAATGTGCCAACCTTACAATCACAGGATTCACAGAACAGACAGTCTCATTTTTATCCCCATGATACTGAAATCTGATGGCTTTTACTCTTCAAAGCAGCAATGAGATCTTTGTCACAGACGGATCAGTGTCAGATTTTTCTTCTGCTATCAATGTGGTTTTGACTCTTGACAGCTGTGGCAATCCCCCAGTGAGCTGTTGGCATATTTCTGTGTTTAATGTAATTTCAAAGTGTCTTCTCTTCTTATTTGTTTCAAATGGTTTAGATAGAACATACATAATGGCAAATTCTTTAAAGAAGTTTTACCTGCCATGGTTGATTAAAAAAAATGTTTTAAAAAATCTGGTAATCATACTGTTGATATTTTGTTTTGTTGGATTAAAGTTAAGAAAAGCAGGTGCCTTGTTAGAATAAAAATGTGTACAACGTAACACAGACCAGTGACCAGTGGTCATTTCGTATGTTGCGGGAGTTTCAGAGAAACAGATGTTTATTTTCTAAACACAACGTCCCAGTGGCTAACAAACCACAAAATGCATTACGGTAAAGACTGGTTCATCCCAAAGATCCAGTCCCCCGGCACAAACAGAGTAATACTGTGTATGCTGTTCAGTGTCAGGAGGGCTGTGATCAGTCTTACATCGGGGAAACAAAACAGCCACTGGCCAAAAGGATGGCCCAGCACAGAAGATCAACATCATCAGGCCAGGACTCTGAGGTCTACACTCATCTCCAGGCCAGCGGTCACTCTTTCAGGGATGAAGATTTTCACATCCTGGACAGAGAGGAACAATGGTTTGAGAGAGGAGTAAAGGAGGCCATCTTTGTGAAAAGAAACTGTCCATCATTAAACAGGGGCGGAGCCTCCGTGTTCACCTGTCTCCCTCTTACAATGCTGTTAGTGCTAGTATCACTCAGCCCTCTTTGAATAGCAAGCAGCCATCAGGGTGCTAATAATTGTTTGTTAGGTTGATGGTCCTCCTTTGAAGAATTAGTTTTGGCTGTCACCAGCAAACTGGTGGATCCACTATGAGAAGGTGCTATTTATAAGACTGAGTTTGTTGCAGCTCCTCAGACTGAAGGAAGTCTTTTGGATGAAAAGACGAAACGTTTCAACAAGTTTTTATTTTTTGTTTGTTTGTTTTTATCCGTCCAGAGGACCTGGCTTAACTTAGTTAGATTTTTCTACCTAGATTATTGAGCATGCGTCAAGATGTATAAAACATGTTTTATATGACATTTATAAATGGTAAAATTCATGTTGTAATTGTGCTAAAACTTAAAGGGATTACCGGCAGTTGAGATATTTAGAAGTGGCTATTTATGAAAGGATTGCGACTCTATAGTATCCTACATGTTGAAGAAAGCTTTTAGAACAACCTCAGTTTTGAAGTTATGATTTAACTTTGACCTGACTGATCAGAAAACCAAGGTCCAAAAGAACCAGACTGTTATTGTATTGAAGCAACATATAAAACAGTCAAAAAAAAGAATGACTGATGAATGGCATTCAATGAGATATCAATGGCAGAATTAGCACGTATAGCAGATGTGTTCGAAGCAGATGGCCACTTGTCCTGAGCTTGGTTCAGCTGGAGGATTCTTCCTGTTATGACTGAGTTTTTCCTTTCCACTGTTGCCTTTGTGCTTGCTCAGGATGGGAGACTGCGATGAAATGAAGACGGTGCAGTCTGCTGGCTTCCTTCCTTAGATAGATAACTTTACCAATTGGCATTTATAATGTACTGTATGTGAATGTTTCTGTTCAGTGCCCTGCGAAAACATCTGTTGTGACTTGGCACCATATAAATAAACTGAACTGAATTGAAAAAATATCCGACACTTCCACAGAAACCTCCTTAAAAAGAGACTTTGATTTTCAGCATCTACCATTTTTCACTTTGTCTTCTTTCTTGACCGTTTATTTTGCAGATACTTGAATTACTTTGCCACCAAGTCAAGCCCAACAGGTGTGATCCTGGATCTGTGGGAGGCCCAGCACTTCCCTGACGGCGATCTAAACGAACTGGCTGCTGTTTTAGAAGAAATGGGTCGCCATGACGGCAGCCTTGCCTCGATGACATCAGAACACTGACAAAGCGCCGTATTTAAAATGGCAACGGCAAAACTCCGGAGATAATTACATGTGAATTCTCTATGGTTGATACCGCAGCTCGGGCTGAATGAACCAATTAGACGCAAGTAAATGAAAAGGTGTCACCATGGTAACGGAGCACTGTTTAAATACCACGATAATCACGTCGACATGGTAAAAGGAATAACAAGCGCTCAACCTGGTGCTGGACCTCGTTTGTGAGTATTTGAGAGATGTGACCACCGGAGAGATAGCCTTACTACGGTAATAAGGAATAAAGAAAACATACACACGCCTAAAGAAGAGGAAAAAAATAACCTGTTTTCTATAGTAGCACCAGGATTTCTTTTTCTTGCTGTTACTTTAATACCAAACAAAGCAGCAGAGGCATGAAAAGAAGATAAACAGAAACTGACCTTGAAAACATCTATAGACATGGAAAAAGGAAGAGAAGGTAAACTAATTACGAGCAGGGGAAGGTAGATTAGAGATGCACAACGACTGAGCTCGACTCTTTAAAAAGACGAGAGCAAACACAGAGAGCAGGTAAACTGATTACAGAAGGGAGGGAGGACAGAAATGTATGATGATGGAAGTGGCAGCAGGTGACCATCTGGATGGAGAGCAGATGATGAGAGGGGAGACGGAGGAGTCCCTCTTTTTCTTGTGAACCTTGGCTGTACGTGTTTGTCGGTACAGTTCGTCGCCTTTATATCGTTTCTTAGGGAACGCTCTATGTATTCTGCTGTCCATATGTGTGGATTGTCTCCTGCTACAGAATGACCTTACTGTATTGTAAGTCCTGACCAGAAACAAGCCAGATCCCACAGGGTTCTCCTTTTGACTGAAATTTTAAGTGCAGTTTGTATTTTGTTGAAGATGAAAGCCGTTTTAAAACACTTTCAGATCATCTAGCTTATATAAAGTGGCGAAGGCAAAATAACTGTTTTTAAAAAAAATCCATTCCAAAGATTCTTACTCAGATGGATACAAGTAAAATTTATTATCACCATGAATAGAGTAGCATGATCGCGACAGACAAGGGACATATCTATTTACAAAAATGAGGTTAACACTTAAAAATCATTGTTTCAGAGTTGTTCATTTTATTTATTTATTTAAATTCCCTTGAGCTTAAACTCAGGTGTCATCATACAACCAAACAGCAGTAATTGTGGTGAATATGATGTACTGCAGTCTGTCTGCTGGACTGTGGAGGCTCGTTTCTGTGCAGGATTAGATGTCCTAACTCTGAGAATCACTTTTTTTATCCGCTTATATACAAAGTAACAGTATTATACCTTAGTGAATTAAAGAAAAAACACTTTTTCATTTATAATCACCACATGTAATAACGCTTTCAGTGTCTGGTGGTCACAGGATGCAAGACACATTTTCAGACTGTGATTTTTCCGGTCAATGGCGCCATCTAGTGGCCTTTGAAGATTTAAAGCAAGAAATCAACTTTTTTTTATTTTCTTTTGTCATCTGAAAAGTGTAAATACATGCTTATAATATTTATACTAACGAAATTGTACCACCATTTTTTGTTTATTGATTATTCATTGTTTTTTTTTTAAATAATGTTAATGTGTTTTGAGTTTGAACCACATCAATCGGTGCCCCCTAATTTTTAAACTCCTGCAGCCAACAATCCAACACGTGACTTATTTGTAGGAAGAGTTTGAGATTTGTGCTACTATCTGACATGACTAAATTGGCCTGTTTAAAAGTTTAAAGAGAACAAAGCGCAACTGGGCTGGCTATTATTAAATGTTTGCATTTACTCAAGTTAGTGTTATGAAAATCTTACAGATCCAGATCTGTTGGCGCATTCATATTTTTCATAATATAAAAGGACAACATGGACGTTCATGTCTAGGGCGATGCATGTAAGCTATTCACGAATCACGTGGGAAGATGCCATTTGTGTTTCAACATGAAGAGATTCTGTTAAATAAATAAATAATAAAAGACGGAGGTTGAGCTGAAGAACAGTACTAAAGGTCAGATGTTTACCTGGACACGACAGGTTTCATCGTTTGGTCGTCCACACCGGAGGAAACACTCAGACATTGATTTTTCCCATTGATTTTCTTTCCTTGTTTAGTCTGTGAGGAATGTGCAACCACAAGATCCGGACCTTTGGTACAGGTGTAAAACCAGAGGCAGATGATGCAGACGCCTCGAGGTGGTTCTGTTTGGATTTGAAAGAATCCCGAGAAGACCAAGTGTAGATGAGAGACGATGTTTTAAAATGTAGTTTCTAATGTTTAGTTTGAGGAGGTCAAAAGAAAACTTTTACCAGGATAAAAGCCAAACAATCGAGTCAACTGTTCCATAACTTTCAGAGTACACGTGAAACATAAACCCCATCTTTGATACGGTCTCATCCCAAACATCAAGCTGACTCACACAAGAGCTATTCTAACCGATCAACGACAACAACTTCACATGAAAATGACGTCAAAGTTTACAGCCCACCAGCAGAAGAAACACGTTGTCCGTGCTGTTAGAGGAAGTTTTCTAATAAGACATCTAGGCCTCCTGAGAGTGATCCTTCGTGATGTAAAAATGAAGAGAAGTTAAAATATAAAAAGTATGTACAAATATTTTTATCTACGGTATGTACAGTTGTGTACTGTTGACTATATTTGGCAAAATTCAGAATTGAAAAAGAGCAGTACAGTTAGATAATAGTTTGTATGTTCAAGTTTATTTGTACTTTTCCCTGTTTTGTAAAAGCGGTTTCTACTATGCAAACTTGGCATTGGTTATCATAGAGGTCTGTAACTAGATCAGTCTTTGAAAGTGCATTTTAATTTTATTCTCATACGAGTGGTTTGATTTGATTAGTGTGGGATAGTAATGGTCCATTTTTCGCTAACTCTGGCACGCTTCGGGAGTCTTGCTTAATCTTGCTGACTGCTTGCCTCTCTATCTCCTCTAATTATTTTCTGTACAAAGTGTAAGAAAGAATTTTTAAGACAATTAATAAATTATATTTATATGCAATCGTAAAAATGTGTTGTTAAGTGGTGGCTTTTTTTTTAAATGATGGTGGTTTAAGGGTTTACAAAAAGCTGTTACATGAACTACTGTGATATTTTTGACTCGAGTTGCTTTACGACAGCAGAAATCCACTTTAAATCTAACAAAAACTCCACTTTTACTCAGCGAAGAAAGGGCTCGACATGTTTGTTTTTTTTACTTTTTGATAAAAGCTCTCCAATTTTGTTGTTTAGTAAAACTTCCAAACACAAAAACTTGGAACACCTTCCTTCTTTGAATGATGTCTTGTTGAAAACAAAGGCTTGCTGATGAAATGTTTTCACATTGACAAGTTCCCCTTCTTTTCTATTGCTAGAATGAACCTCTTAGTTCTGCGACTGTCATTCGTTTGTTTTTTAGAACACAAAAATGAAAGTACACTTTCAAAGTTCAGATGTTTTAATTGTGACTTTTTACAAAATCATATACCCCCCAGCTGCATCTCCCAGTGTGTCTCTACTGGTGTTAAGTTTTGGACAAAAAAAAACTGTGAAAGTGTAAAAACAACACTGAGCTCTAAATATTTGTAGTCACAGTCAATAAATACATTAAATACTTGTTGCTGATAATAAACAGATAATTAAATTTGACAGATCCATCAAAATCCAACATAAAGACTTGGATCTTGAGGATTTAACTGTTGTGGACAGATTCCTGAGGTTGTTCTTGGGATATATGTGAACCACTTGCCCAGCCTTTTTTTTGCAGGGTGGGGGTCAGAGCACCACATATTCTGATGACCACTGGCACCAGTAAGGCATGGACTCTCTACAACTTCTCTATTTTATCTTTCCGTCCTTGGCATTTCTCAAGCTTCTCATGTTCCTTCTTGTCGTTACAGTTTCATGGGGTCGCTAAAGATGGTTGGCTCTGCGGTATGTTCACATGACTTTGAACAGAAGATCAAGGCTTCAAACCGCATGTCAGCCAACCTCTAGCAGCTTCAGTATATAATGAGCAAAAGACATAGTAAGGATGCTATGCTGTCTTGAATGGCAGTCTAATGAGAAATGGACAACTGGAACAGGACTTTTGTGGACAAGGGCAGAAAACACATAACACTATACTGTATAAGCAAGCCCAATGAACAGTGTTGTATGGAAATAACGGAAAAACTACAAAAACTATGAAACTCAAAATCCAGATTGACAATAAACTTTGTACAATGTTCCATTGTTTGCAAGAATCGACCATCACAGATTATAAGACAAAAATGCTACAGCTATAGTGGCCCTAAGGTGTAAATGAACATTTAAAAAACAATTACATTTGACAAAGCACAACAAAAACACATTTGAAAAAATGGAATTACATTAAGCCAAAGCAGAAATGGTGCTTTGTTTTTGTGTGTTTTTTTTTGTTTGTTTTACTTTATTAACATAAAACAGAACAATGTACAGTACACACACAATGTTGTTCTGTTTTATGTTGTTTAGTAAAAAAAAACAAAAACAAACACAAAAAAAAACCCACTTCCAGTTTGTCTTAATGTGATTCCGTTGTTTCAAATGTAATTCCAGCCACTTCCGCTTTGACTTAATATAATTCTGTTTTTTCAAATGTACCGTAATTTCCAGACTATAAGCCGCAACTTTTTTCACACGCTTTGAACACCGCGGCTTATACAAAGCTGCGGCTAATTTATGGATTTTTTTTTTTTTTTTGATGGACTAACGAGCTTCATGCCACCAAAACATTTAGCTTCGTCACACCCAGGCGCTCACATAGCTGCCCAGTACACGTCTCTCCTGGTGGGGTAGTGATCAATGACTTCCTGGTAGACTACTGTATTGTTTTAATCAGGCGTGTTACAGGCACTGTTCAGAAAAAAAACAATACATTTACAGTATTTGTGAGTGTTACCGGTATGTATTTCATTAAAAGTTTAAAATATATATTTCTGTGTACAGTAAATATCTCATGTTACAACGTGGACACCCACAGCTTATAGACACGTGTGGCTTATTTATGTAAAATTTGAATTTTCTTTTTAAATTGAGCATGCACGGCTTTTATTCAGGTGCGCTCAGTAGAAATTACAGTAATTTCGTGTTTTCAAACGTAACTGTTGCGTTTTTTTCAAAAGTGATTGTTTTTTCAAATGTTCATTTACACATTAGGGCCACTGTATACAGCGAGGGGAAGTCGGGACGACAGATGGGGGGGGAACATCAACCCCACCATCCAAGGATGTCTACCAAGCCCCATTGAAAAGTACTTTAATAAACTGAACACGGCAGTTGACCTGGGGCTAAGAAAAACATGTTTTAGACATCAGTGCTAAAATAATGCACATCTGGGCTTCTGCTTTATGAATGGTTTGGATTTTTTTCTTAGAATAGATACAGTAAATGTAGCTGCTCCTATTAATTGATTTCTTTCACAAGTACCAGTAATGCAGCAATGCAGCAAAAAGCATGCACACGTCTGCAGTCGAGATTAATTGGGAGCATATAAACTTTATTTTTTCACATTAGTCTGTTAGATTTAGAGTTTTACATGGAAAAATGCAGTTTTACAACTTTTATTAGCCTACCGCAGCTCACATACAAATATTCAACTTCAGTGTCTACAAACGCTTATATCTTAAACAGAATGAAATTTACAGTAAAACCTCAAACACATCTCTTAACATAAAGTCAGTTCATTCAAGAGTGACATAGACTGTGCTCAATCCAATAATAATATTATTAATCTTAATAACAATAATAATATTAATATAAAGCCAGTAGTGGAACGATGAATGACAAGAGGTGTTCTGCTGCAGGTTGCGTTCAACCCGATCCCTCCAGTTCTAGCAATCGGACCTTCATGTACAGGTAGCGTAGCTTTCACAGAAAGCACAGATACAGTTTTCCACCTCCTGGTCAGTAGACTGTTGGAGTTTCTCTGCAGCTCTAGAGACAAGTTCAGCTCATGGTCCTCAGAGACCTTAGGAGCATGTGCACAGGGACCTTTGCTTGGTGTTAGACACTCGCACTGATATGAAATGTCAGAATTCTCTTGACGGACCGAACACTGACACATAGATGATTGGTTTCAGCATGACTTGAGTTGCAAAGTTCCAGGTTTTGGATCCCTCAAGGTGTTTCTCCTGCTTTGTCCTCCTAAAAATGAAGGTTTGAGTGGCCTGGATTAGAGCCAGTGTGATCATTATTGTCCTTTTCTATGCACAGCTGGCGTTGGCACCTCACAGCTTGATATCCTGTGATTCTGACATTTTAGCAAGTGTCTTTTTGACCCGCAGAGCTGTGAGGCGGCAGGCCGGGTTGTGAGCCCAGCATTCTGTTATCAGCTTCCCCATCTGTCTCAAACACTGAGGAGATAAAGACCCATATTAGGGAGGTCATTTTTTTTTTGTGCATGTAGAATGTAGAATCGTTTCATTAATGTTACCTCATCACTGGTCCATCGATTAGGAAAGGATGGTCGTAGTTTCTTGATGCAGACCACCTCTCTCATGTCTTCATACGAAGGGTCTGTAGGAACTAATTCCTGATACGGTAACTGATACTCTTCCAGGATTCCTACAACAAGTAAGATACACAGCAAATACAAGGTTTGGATTTAAAGGGATTGTTCAGATCTTTTGAAATGACGTTTTGCGGACAAGTTATAAACATTCAATATTTGTTGTAAATTTGTTGGATTTACAATGATACGATGCTAAGAAGTGCCAAAGCCAAAGAAGACTGTGGTTGTATATCCATAAAGCCTTAAGGAATAGTTCAGTAAAAAAAAAAAAAGAAACAATTATAAAGTCATGAAGATGCAGTTCTGTATATTTACCTCCTGAGATGCAACGTCGTGCAATCTCCCAGAGGATGAGTCCAAAGCTGTACATGTCAGCCATGATAAATGACTGAAAATGACTTCTGTTCAAAGTCTCGTCCAGAACCTCTGGAGGCATGTAGCGCTTTGTGCCAACTCGAGTGTTGGGAGGGATGTCCACTTCATTTGTGTCACTAGAATAAAGTTGTAAGTTTAGGCAAATAAAAAGTTTATTTCAGCAAAACATCAGTTCACGTCTGAAGAAAAGGGGCTCACTTTTAGTGGAAACACTCACCTAATAAACTTGACTGCCAGTCCCAGATCAGCGATACAGCAGGTCCCATTTCTTTTCACCAGTATGTTCTTACTCTTAAGGTCCCTGTGAGCAATAGCAGGTTTGCCCTGGGTGCCAAAGATCTCCGTGTGGAGGTGACAGAGTCCCGACACAGAGGAGTAGGCAAGGCGCAGCATGGCTTTGTTGTCCAGAGTGGTTGATTTGAGGTAATCGTACAAAGATCCATTTTCATGGTAATCTGTGATCAGGTAGAGCTGGGTCCAAGAGCCAGTTCCTTTGATATCTGCAGCTATGAAACCTGTGAAAAGAGAGAATGGGGAATGGATGAAGGGGGAAGAGAAGCAGGGAATTACAAAATCAAGTTGTAGTTAGTTGCTGTTGTTTTCAGAAACAATATGAATTATGGGCTTCTGGATATATA